GGGGGGGGGGGGGGGGGGCTGTTTTACAGACATTCCAGTATAGTTGAAGAAAAACATACATATAAACGTTTTATCGTAAATATGGTCGTTTATGACCGATAAAAGATGAGACCATGCCAAGACAACTTCTAGTATTAACTTACAAAACAAGATAAAAGGGGGAGAAGGGGTGATAGGGGAAATGGGAAAGGAGGGGGTTGGAGGGTATTGGGGTAATGGGTATGAGGGGGATAAGGGGGGAACAGGGGTGGGGAAAGGGGTGTGGAATGAGGGACAAATAATCTCAGACACTACAATGGTTATTTGCACTCAGGAAAATACACAAAGATGCTTTAAAAAAGTGTAATGCCCTGCAGTTTCTTGGAGGAATATTGTTAACATTTAAAAGTTCGGAATAGGTTGACATGTTTGCTTAATTTTAATTAAACTGGAAGTTTTTGAACCATTCAGAGATTAGGAAATTTTTAATAATCTTTCTTTTTTACCAGATATATTTATGTTTTTTGCAAGTTTTCTTCTTTGTGAGAAAAAACTTCCCAAAGTGTCATCGAAAAGCTATAGGCATGAATGTTTTAATCGTACTAGCTTAATGATATCATTTTTTATAGATTTTTACAAAAAAGTGATTATTTTTTTTTTGAGGCACATTTTAGATTTTTATTTTATGATGTCTTTCAGGCAATATTTTGAGTTAAAAAATATTATATACATCTTAAAACAGTTTATGATAAAATATGTATTGGAAAAATGACAAATCTGTTTAATTATGAATATATCGCGCATTACTCAAAATTACAGCGAGTCTCGTAAAACTTTGGAAAAGGTAGACGACTGTTAGATTCAATTTATAATTTTGACCAAATATAAATGAAAAAAGTGTGCAATACACGGGAAGCCGTGGTACATTTGAATTTCCGAGCCGGGTCAACCTTTCCGGTCCCAGTTTGTACAGTACCTAGCTCTAAGGACAGGACTGGCCGGTGCAACAAGGTTGAAGCGGTCAGGCTTAATGCTTCATTTAGGGTCGATTACTAAAGCAGAGGTGCGTGAGTACACACTATGTACTACATCAGACACATTTCAATTAAATTTGTAGCTATTTCTCAACTTTTTAACAACATCAAGTAAACATTTGAATGCTTGGATGTCGTCTTCCTATTCCACAATTTTATGGGTTCCAATGTACTGAACAAATCCTTATTTTAAAAAGACGAGATTACCTTCTCTCTTAGTGTTGTATTGAATGGAGGGGCGGAACAACATTGACCTTCCTCTGACATCATTCTTACTATATGAAAATAATGATAGACATTAAAGGGGCGACTCCCGGCTTTAAAAAGATTGACGCAATTAAAACAGATTTTTAAATCGTAAATTTGACATTCTGTTTCGAAAATAAGAATCAAAGTCTTTGGCACAAAATCTGAAATTTTTGATCTTTTAGAAAATTTGAGATTGTGGCCAAAGCTCAATTCCTTTGATACGAATAGGTCGGTTTAAGACATCATTAAATTTATAAACTAATTGGCGCAAATCTAATAATTTTTTTGGGTGAAATTTTCTGAAAAATTTATGTAATTACAGAAGATGATTTGAAAAGTTCTCCTAATTTACTAAAATGGACAGATTTCACAGTCCTAGTTCCTAGTCTACTCTTGAAGCTAATTATGTTGATTAACTGAATAGCTGATATTATTCATTGAACAACTGTTTTGATACACTCAGCTGCTAATATTTTTTTCACTAAACAGCTGGTATTATTCACTCAACGGTTGCAAATATTCACTCAACAGCTAGCTGATATCAATTAACAACTGATATCATTCACTAGAAAGCTGAAAGTATTCACCAAACAGCTAAAAATTTTCACTGATTCACTAGACAGCTGATAGAATTCACTAAACAGCTGATAATATTCACTAAACAGCTGATATAATTCACAGAACAGCTGATATTATTCATAGAACAGCTAATATTATTCTCTAGACAGCTGATAGTATATACTTAATTATAGCTGATATTATTCATTAAACAGCTGATTATATTCACTGGACAGTTGACATTAGGCATTAATCAGCTGATATTATTCTCTGAATAGCTGATAGTATTCACTAAATATCTAATAGTATTCATTAAACAGCGGATATCATTCACAGAGCAGCTGATATTATTCACAGAACAGCTGATATTATTCACTAGACAGCTGAAATGATTCACTAAACAGCTGATTTTATTTACGAAACAGCTGAAATTATTCACTAATCAGCTGATATTGTTTACTACTCAGCTTTTATTAAACACTTAAAAAGCTGAAATTATTCACTAACCAGCTGATATTATTCACACAAGCAGCTAATATCATTTACCAAACAGCTGATATTATTTACTAATCAGCTGAAATTATTCACTAACCAGCTGATATTATTCACACAAACAGCTAATATTCTTTTAGATATTTTAAAATTGGAGGCAGGGGGCCTGGGACGGAAAGTTTTTGTGCCGTAAAACTGGAATAGTAATTATGTGAGAATAACATTGATAAATTATTCTTCTACATTTAAGCTTTTAAAATTATTTTTATGAAGTAAGATTAGTTCTAGAAACCGTTACATAGGTAATTTTCCCGTCTTTCTCTTCTCTTTTTTTTTAAATTATAACCATGATATATTAAAATTTAGATTTTCTGAGAGTAAGCATTTAATTTTTTAAACGTTCATTTCGCCATGTACATTTTATTGTGCCCCCCCCCCCATTGGCAAATAGGTTTCCGTGTGTAAAAACAAGTTAAATGAACCTGCTTGGGCAATTGGGCCGGAATACAGAATATTTGAGCAAAGTATTTTGTCCTAATGTTAGACCATTTGCTCACTTAGATAAAAACTTGAACCACAGGGTGGTTCGGAAAAAAATTTAGACAGAAAAATATTATGAAAAAACTAACCATTTAAATCAATAATAATACCGCCTTAAAACTGTCCCCTATAATTCTTAAACTTTTATTTGACAAAAAATGTGGAAGAAAATTGTCTTTTTTCTTGCTTGAAAGCCGTTAGATACTGACATTTTTCTCCGTTAAGTTTCTGAATTATCAAAAATCGCATGTCACATCGAAGAATATAAAAAACGGAATTATAAAAAAAAACTATTTTCAAAGTAACAACATCCGTGATGATATCTCATTAACTCTTGATCAGGCAAAGCTCTTGTGTATGGGGGTACCGTTGTGAATCAACATGTTCCTTTTTTTCAAAATGCATGTTCACTTGAAATCACAAAAACAATCCCTTTAAGCTTGCAAAGATTCCCCCTGTAAACAGTCCCTTTATGTTTCCAAAGATTCCCCCTGTAAACAGTCCCTTTAAGTTTCCAAAGATTCCCCCTGTAAACAGTCCCTTTCAGCTTGCAAAGATTCCCCCTGTAAATCTAGCGATAACTATAGTAGAGATGTATCTACTCTATATATCCCGGGGTCGGAAAGGAGAAATATATAGTTCTAGATGTCCAAAAATTATTCAATTCTATCCACACAAAAAAAACTTATAGTTAAGGATAAAATTTGTACCGGCCCAGCCCTACTATTTCCGTACTTTACTGATGGAATTAATTCCGCTACACGATTTGGAATAATTTCATATTTCCTGTTGTGCTAGATTACGTATTTTTAAACACCATTGAGTGATAAATTCACATTGCTCGTATTTTCTATCCGATTCCAATTTGTATTTTGTCTGTTTTCTCGTTCAGAGGCAGATATAGAAATGTTTGCTCGGGATATATGCACGATAAATATCAATAAATGATATATGCACGATTTATATCAATATTTATATGTAAACGGAATACTGATCTATAAGCGACTATAACACTTGGAACTATATACACGGTATTTTAAAAGTTATAAAAATCATTCTCGCTAATTTCTTGATTACTCAGTTGGTATTCTTCCAAAGGAATTGAGTTTTTGTCACAACCCCTAATTTTCCAATTCCTATAACTTTGAATCCTGATGTTGTAAACCTGTGATATTTCAATTGTAGCTTAGTTATCTTCCAGAATTCATAGCTTGAAATATCTAAGGTCTACGATATTATGTTGCAAGGATATAGGGGTTAGAAAATCTGAAATTGCTGCGAAAACTCAATTCCTTTTTCTTATATCTACGAATGTTGTTTCTTATTTTTGGAGATTTTGTTGAAATAGTTTCACCTTGTGATACGCCCTCAGTTGATCTTTTTAGGCTCGTTTTTGCCTTTATTTTCTTCCACGGTCAATATATCATAATTAACTATTTATAACACTGTTATTTTGGTTCGCAGTGTTGTAAAGTTTTTGGACAGAAATTTTCTCCTTATCGAGAAGGTTCAAGCCTAATAATTAAAATATCATCAAAAAAGGGGAGAACCTTCGAGATATAGAGAAAATTTAATTCCAAAACTTTATAGCACGTTGTGCCAAATAATAGTATTATAGGTCATTTTTTGAAACGTTTGTGTACTTGTCGCTTTTAAATGCCTATTTCTGTTGATCAAATAAGCTTTGAAACAAAGCAGAGGTAAAAAAAATAAAGTTGATTTCAAATTCATTTTCATTTGAATTGAAAAAAAAATATTTTGGAAATATCCTAAATTTTTTAGAGAAGATCCGGGAACCAATCAAAACTTTAAAGCACACGTGATATAATGTACAGCTAATTTAACTTTATAGCACGATGATTACTTTATAGCACGTTCATTATGAAATTCACGATGAAGTGAGAAAGAATGATAATTAAGTACACAATAGTTTCATAATAATATAATACAGTTTTGAATTTTTGGAAGTTTAAAATTAAAAAAACACCCTGGACTCAACACTATAGTTCACCCTTGCTATAAATGAATGTTTAAATATTTAAAATATGGATGGTTTGATAGATTTGCAAAATATGGAAGGATGAGTGTATTATCATGATGACAGATATATGAATAAATTTCAATATTAAATCCTTTTAAAGAATTTAAATACAAAACCCCCTTTGACAGATTTGGTTGTCTCTCTACGGAGACACAAATATATCAAGTTAACAAATTGTACAATGTACTTTTAACGAAGATTTTTTTGGCCTAAAAAATAAAACCTGAAAATAAAAAATCATAACATTTAAATAATAATAAAAGCGAGCCTACAATTTCTGAGTTATCATAATTTTCAGATTTTTAGATTTTAGTGGGGCGGGGTGGAGAGTGTGTGACACCAGTTTTCGTTAGATCACTGAAGTTAAGCACACTTGTCCATAGCCAGTAGGTGGATTGGTGTCCAGACTGATGTTCACGGATTCGATTCCCGTACTCCACACAAACCTGTGGTTTCAAAAACATCTGAAGCCGATATCTGGTTAAGCAGTTATGACCACCTGACGGATGTAGGAGGACAGAGGGGCGGCTGTCAACAACTCTTGCAGCGAAAGGGTGCGTGCTTACTACTCAACAAGAAAGAAGCTTTAAGTAGATTGATCCAAGTGAATGATGATGAAGACAGGAAAGGTGGACAAGCAGGGAGAGTCTATGGTTGCCAGCTATAGGTACTTGGGGGTATCCAATCCGGGCTTAAAAATGATTGTTAGCAATGACTGTGATGTTTCCTGTCTGTATGGCACTCGACCTCATTCCAGTATATCAGAAGAATTCCTGCACTTTATTATTCTCAGGCCTAAGAAGCCCAGTTTGAATCTTGTCAACCCTCTTCTCCTGATAAATGAAGTGGGGATGGATGAATGTGCTGCCAGATTACGACCCCTGGTAGATCAATATAAACCCATACAACACCAAACTTTCGCAATAAAAAAAAATCCGAGATTTGATTGAAGCAACCCGATCATATCCTGGGGACAAAAAAATCTCTTTTAAAAATAATTTTCAGATTTGTTCCGTATTTGCTAAAAAGATCTGTTTAAACTTTGATTTAAATACCATATCACATATATTACATACCTAAAAGAGAGTATGAAAAAAAACTTACGTATGCACAGGATGCAACAAGTATACATTCTAAGTATTTGTATACATTAACAAAGCAGATAAAACCTATTTTTGCTCGAACATGATTGTATTTTTGTTCTGTTTTGTTTATAGTCGATATATTTTTGTCAAAAATGGTTATATTTTTAGTCAAAAACAGTTATATTTTTGGTTAAATAAATAGTTATATTTTTGTCAAAAATGGTTAAATTTGTAGCCAAAAAAATCATATATTTTTGGTCGAAAATTGTTATATTTTAGGCAGAAAATAGTTGTATTTTTGGTCAAAAAAGTTATCTTTTTGGTCGAAAATGG